TACTCGTTGGCGCGGGCGGAGTAAGGCGCGGCAGAGGGGGAAGGCGCGGGAAGTCTCGGCGTCATCATTGTTGACTCAGGTCGGTTGATTACATAAACAATGCATTCCTTATTTTTTTATCACTCGCCGCCGCCGCCGCCGTCGCCGCCGCCACCGCCGCCGTAATCGCCACCGCCGCCACTACCGCTGCTGTGGGCCCCATGCCCTTCCAAAAAATGCGTAGATAACAAGGGTTCACACGTTAGAGAAAGATAGAGTGTGCACAACGCTTTACATGACACAATTATTTGGCATGTGCCAGATTAATAACGCGACTGACATAATAACATATAATAGTATGCTTTGTAGGCGATAGAGCGCGTGATATGAGAGAAGGAAGGATAGAAGAAATAAATCCTCTTTTTTGATGACGCAGTTTTTTCAATACAGTTTTTTATTAGCGCGCCGAGGTATAAGATGGATGGATGAATGGAGATTAAAATAAAGTACATATATAAAATGATGTGGACGAAAATTTTTTTATTCATATGTTATTACATCATGTTTTTTTTCCATTAAAAAGTAAAGTTAATAGCTCGCAATCGATGAGCTGACGCCTATTGAAGAAGTCGCTGTTGTGTATGACGTTCTCATACGTATTGGAGAATCGAGTATATTTTGCATCAACCGTACCGACGAGTCGGGCTAATCGTTCGAACGTTACATCGATACACCCGTCAAAGTTAAACATACGACGTAGCGTCGTTTCCGTCATTGTAATGCGTACCGGCGAAGATTCGAGACGTACGAGCGTAGCATTGTTCAGCGTACAAACTCTGACGATTAGCGGTCCAACACTTATAAAATTGTCCATGTATTCGTTTCGAAGCATTTTGTAAATATTCCATCGCTGCTCGTAGAGACTCTTTCAGGTTTCGAGAGACAACGACAGTTCGTGTCCGCGATGATCTCCCAGAACGATCTCCACGTAACTCGGTGGATCAACGTTGATACCAATTTCCAAAAATTTATAGCCCGTATTCGTCAGATCGTAACGTCTGCTCAGTAAACGCATCGCACGATGCTGCGGACTGCATACATACATACATACTCGTATATACATAATGTTAAAAAACCTTTCTTTTGTGTGTAGAATGTTGAAACTTACGTGCTATATTCATTCTTCACGTCGTACGATGCTCTGCTCTCTTTGGCGAAGTACATTTTTTTTTATCCGTTCGTACAAGCGGGTATCACAAGACTGATTGCATCCGCGTAAATTATGGAGTATGTGATAACACTTCTGGGATCGAAGAGGGGAGACAGGCCCTCCCTACTTTTTCCAAGAATTTCAAACGTGTCGCGACATGTTTTATCACGCCTTTCTATTTATATTTTTTATCGCAAGCCTATATACGTACGTTTGTACGAACGTTTATATATACATACATACATACATACATACATACATACATAT